CTCTCAGTTTTCAGAGTGCAGGGCTTAGCTTCACCCAGATGGGGCTGAACAAATGCAAAGGGACATTGAATGTGTTCAACAGCTCCGTGCCTGGAGGCTGTGACTCGGGCTGGACCAGCCAGGACAGCAGTGACCCTGGGCTTGCTCCTGCTTCCCAGCTCACAGCCCATGGTTTGCCAGCCCCATCCGCTCCCAGATCCAGGGGTGCTCATTTGAGCTGGATCAGACACCCAGGCACAGCAGGGCAGACCAATTCCTGCTCCCAAACCCATGTGTGTCACTGACAGCAGCTGTGGATCTGAACTTTCAAACCACAAATTTTGACCAAGCAAATCAGGAAAATTTCCTGATAGTGATGGGTAAGAAAGACCTTTGTCCAGGGCGGGGCTTGGGATTCCAGCACACAGAGTGCAGATCCACAGACTATTTTCACAGGCAGCATTTTCCTTTTGAGGTGTTACAYTGGTCCTGGATCTGCTCACAGGGTCCTAGATGGTGTTTTTGTGGAGGCACTGGTGTGCAGTAGGAGGGAAGGCACAGGATGGTGGGGGAGTGGGGATGGAGCAGGATCTCTTCAGCTGACACTGTCACAGAGACAAGGACAAGGACACCTCCTCCCTGACCCCCCTGCCCTGTAACCTCCACCAAAACCAGCCACCAACAAAGCCGGCCTTGCCTGCAACCTGTAACCTCACAGAACCCTTCTGCAAAGACAACAGGGTGTTTCACAAGGCTTTTGCAATGGGCTTTGCCAAATTACTGTGTGGAAAGAGGTGTGAAACCAGCAGGAATGGGGGCAAGCAGCCACCACAATGGCTTTGCACTCTGCTGCTCCCTGGTTTCCTGTCCACCTGCTCTCCACAGCCTCTTGTGCTGTCCAGGTCCAGCTCCTGCCCTCGTCCTTGGCAAGGTCAGCACCTTCCCTCTGGCTGGTGGTGCTCAGGCAATCAGAAAGAAAAAGGTAAACAACCAAGACAAAAGCTTTGATTATGGAGCCGCTGAGTTTGCCAGGCACGGGGAGGGCTGGGGGGAGACAAATGTTGCTAAACCAGAGTTTCCAGGCAGCACAGGCTCGCCAGTAAACAGGATTCACACTTCCCTTCCCTCATCTGCCAATCACATGGGTCATGTCAGGGAACAGGAGGAAGCAAGGGAAAAAACACCCGTAGAAGTGCAAAGGGCACCTGTCCTCCACCATCTCAGAAATAATTTTCAAACACCCCATTCCTGTATTTCAAGAGTTCCCTGCCCTCAGCACATGGCAGTGAATCCTGCGTGGGAGCTCATGTGAGCCCATCAGTTCAACATGTGCAACACCTGCAGGGTTCTCCCACACCTCTCAGGTGCCTTCTGGGGATGTGCTGATGGAAATTGGGTAAATGGCCCCTCCAGGTGCCCTTGCTCAGTGTCCTGCCTCTCCTTTTCCAGAGGAGAGCTGGCTTTTCTTCTCTTTGTAGGAGCTGAGTCCTAGTTTGTTGTGTAGCATTACCTACCAGCCTCCTTCCCAGGATAAAGGCAGCTGCACCTAGAAATTAATGTGTAATTTCTGCTGGAGGGATAATGGGAGCCATAAARCCTGGCCTGTGTTACTATTTGAAGCATGTGCAAACTGCTAATAAGGATATGTAAGTACCAAGTGTCATTTGAAGATTTTAATGAAGCCAAGCAATGTTTTTCAAGCTGTTTTCTYGGTTAATGTTTAACAGGACAATGGTGTGTCCCCACTGGCACTGGAGTCAGGGACCAGGACCAGTTCAGTGCTGCTCAGCAGAACAAATGTACATTGCACCTCCTGCAAGGTCCTGGCTGGGCAGTCATTTCCAATGACATATGAAAATTACATCACAGGGTGAGGAAACTGAGCGGGAGGGAATTGTCTGCAGGGCAGTGGAGCAGCAACAGCCCCTGCTCGTGCCCTGGTGTGCAGTGCCTTCCCCCAGCCCCTYCATGCCAGCCCTCCCCTTCCTCACACCCTTCACATGAGACACTTGGACCCACTGGTAGGGCACAAAATGACCCAGAGGATTTTGTTTGGTTAATTTTTTTCCATTTTGTGAAGCAAGCTCCTGGGAGGCTCTGCCAGATGTTGGGGTGCTGGARCATGTCCAGAGAAGGGATTGGAGCTATGGAAGGCTCTGCAATGCAATTCTGATGAGGATCAGCTGAAGGAGCTTGGGGGTCTCAGCCTGGAGAAAAGGAGGCTCAGGGGGACCTTCTCCCACTCCATAACTCCCAACAGGAGGTTGTAGCAAGGTGGGAGTTGGCCTCTCCTCAGAGGCAGCAAGTGACAGGATGAGAGGGAATGGTTTCAAGTTGCTCCAGGGAAGATCTAGATTGGATGTTGRRGAAAATKTCTTCACCAAAAGGRTACCAGGTATTGGAGCAGGCTGCCCACAGCAGTGGCAGGGTCACCATCCTTGGAGGGGTTTAACAGACATGTGATGTGGCACTTGAGGACATGGTTTAATGGTGGCCTTGGCAGTGCTGGAGGAATGATTGAATTTGATCATCTCTGAGGGCTTTTCCAACTTAAACAATCCTGTGATTGTGTGTGAGGAGGGCAGCAAGGCTGGGGAGCAGTGGGTGTGCAGGGAACCTCAACCTCTGCTGGGGCAGCAGCTGCCTGGAAAGGCTCTCCAATGTCTCCCACACCTCCCATTGGCCAGCAGGTTTCATTTGGGGTGCCCTTCAGGGGCTGAGTGCTTCACACTCAGAGCAGGGGTAGTTGTGTATCCTGTTTTTTTCTCACCCAAGAATACAGCATGTCATGTAACTAATTTAAATAATTTTTTCCTGGTTGAGCCTCATTAGGGACCCAGCATTAAGCTGGCCTGATTAGATCTGCTAATCGATGGTGGGRAAAAGGAAGCTGGTTTCAGCACGCACGGCAGCACAGGAGCAGGGTGGTGCTGCTCYGCTCCCTGGGGACCACCACTGTCCCCAGCCCCACCTCATGTCCCCCGGGMACAGCGTCCCTCCACAGGCGGCCACTGGTGTCCCCTCGCCGCTGGCCACCGCCGTGAGTCACGGTCATGGGGCAGGGATGGTGACTGAGCACTCCAACCTGTGTCCTTGACCTATTTTATCTGGGCAAACCCGTAATTGCTTTCCCAGGCTCCGTGCTTGGACCTTCTCCTACACACGTGTCCCGTTATCAGCCCAAAGCAACAGCGCCCGTGCAAAGTCCCGCTCAGCAGCCCGGTGTCCCGTCCAGCCCCGCAGGGAACGGAGGGAGAGCGGTGGCGTGGCTGGGGACAGTGGGGCCCAGCCCAGYCCCTGCCATGCCCGGGGGTCCCTGTGGGGCCAAGGCTCTCCAGGTCCCACTGCTGCCGGTCCTGAGCAGGCTGAGGCTGCGCCCTGAGCCCCCCGTGCCCACTGTGACCCCGCTGTCCTTTGGCCTAAGCCCTGTTCAGCCCCGYTCAGCTGCTCTGCCGGGAAGCCCCCTCCCCACAGGCAGCCCGGGAGCCCCGCGGGCCAGGCGGGTCCTGTCCCGCTCCAGACTCCGCTCCAGGCAGGGCAATAGCAG